AAGTGCCCGGGTTCCCTGCGCACGGACACATACGGCAACTAGCGGCCTGAGGAAACTGTGATTAAAACCTGTTCTTGTGAATTTCCAACTCACAGTCAACGCTTTCCAAACTTATCAATTTTCCCCGGTTTTTGATTTGAGAAACCTTCTGTTGGCGACATAGCCATATTTGAGAGGACTATAATGAAGGTCTGAGGCAGACTAAATGACAACTGATTTTATGGAATGAACAGGAAAGAAAACTCCTCTGATAAAATGAGGAGGAAAATACGTTGTTGATAACCGTCTATACGTTCGAAAATCTGGAACAGCTGGGACTTCATAGAAAACTGAATTTACCACTCAGATTCCCTTACCTGCAGTGAACCACAGTCGGACCAAAATCGCTAGACAATGGTTTCTGCTGTCGAAGATACATGTAGTTCTTCAAGAAGTCATAAAATTCGGCGATTGGGGGTACAGCATGATCGGCCCAACTTAGGAAATGCAGTTGCGTGAAAGTCCATGACTGAGGACAGAAAAAAAATAAAACGCATTTGGTATACACATCAGGAGGGCGAAGATGTAACGAAAGACTTTGCATAACCGTAAAGTTTCAAACTTACAGCACTAGAAAAAAAAGAAGAAATATTACTTAGCAATTGAAAAAGACACGCCTCCAAGTTTCCGAAATGGCAGATTAGTGCAAGTCAGAAGCTGATAAATAAGGCAACATTTCACTATGCCGGTTAGCAAAACTCCATGTCCGTAATAAACCATGTGATCACATTTTCGACAGAGGTCATTTGCCCTGACCCTGATGATCTGCTCTCGCCCATTTCGAGCAGTCTGAGTGGAATTTTCTTTCATACTTGCAATTGGACAGGCTTTTTCTTCTTCTTCTTCTTCTTCTTCTTCTTCTTCTTCGGCGTACTCTTATTAATCCTCCCGCAAAAGCCACTACACTGCACACAGAGTTCGTTCTTCTGAAATTTAAGAAAAGGTCCACACTACCGTGCTTTTAGGTGATGGATTAGACTTTATGAGAGAAGTAAGAAGTCACTGTCTTCTAAAACCACATGGCGTTTGGATCGTACTCGTTGCTCTGAGAATCTGCACCGAACGCAAGTATTAAAGCTCAGCAGAGACTGTGCCCAGTGTCTCAGAGACGTGAGAGGATGGACAAGTGACTTTATGGCAAGTAAAGAAGAAAGTGATTGATTTTCGTGCAGTGAAGGTCGTCTTCACAATAATCTAGTTCAGTGGCCAATCAGGAATGAGTCCCCTTGCCTCACCGCGATAATGCTGGTAGTTGCGGTATGTGAAAGCAATATTATTTTCAAAGTGAGACAGTATGCCAAAATGACAAGCAGATGACAATTTGTACATAGGATGAATCCAGGTGGTCTGTGCAGTGCCATTGCCCAACTGCCAACGGACGGGAAGACCCACATCGCGCGGCGAACTCAAT